AAGCAGGGATAGGCCAGTGGCAGAGAGCTTTTCAGGCAGGATCATCTTTGTTTTGGGTCAATACCAACCTGATCCAAATGAACAGGATTTGGACCCAAGCTCTTACAGCCCTTCAGCACAGAGAAAAACGATGGTTGGCCGTGGTTGATGCTGGAGGGGTCCTGCCTAGAGGAGGAGAGGCCATAGGCTGCACTGAGTTCACAGGCTGTGTGTTCCTCACAATGAATGTTCTCTAGCAGACATAAGATGTCCAGGTAATTTGGGTACACGAAAAAGGAAATGGAGCTCATTCAGCATCACCAGTTCCAAAATAACCTGGGAGAAGAAATAATCCTGTTGGAAGATTCCAGCTAAAGCAAAAGCCTATTCAAAGCACACGCCTGATTTGGAACATCCGCTACTCAAGTATTTTGCTAAAAGTGGCTGAAGAAGGAAGGATTTTTATTTTTTAATTCCTCCTACTGCTGCAGCTCAGAGCAATGGTCATGGTGTGTTCAGGCCACCAAAGCAGAAAATCTGAGCCAAAGGGCCCAGATGCAGAATTTCCTGCTCTAACCTAAACCCAATGCCATCGAATGCCGCTTCCCTCAAGACCTCCCAGTTATGCTACTGTCTGTAGCGTATCTGGTGGCCAGCATCCAGACTGAGCATTAGCAAAGCTAACAAACCAGACCGTTCCCACAGGAAGGCCCTTGCTCTTCAGCTTGATTGCAGAGCAGCCATCAGGGACGCTTCTTCCACTGTTGTTGCAATGGCCAGTGAGTGGACAGCATGCCAAAACCCACGGGCACTGCCCTACAGCCATGAAGTCTTGGCTAAACAGCAGCACAAATCAAAGAAGGTCAGAGCTCCACAGCAGCCCTGGCCTTCTTTAAAATAAAGCACATCAATTTTCTAAGAAATCAGGGAAATAAATTCTTCAATGCCTTTCCAATCAGACCTGGAACATTGCAACACAGTCGTGTCAAAGACACCAAGGAGAGAAGGGGAGACGCGCAGAGCAGTGTGCAAGGAGAGCAGCACGGAGCTTCACCCACCTGCTCTCTACTCTTCCCTAGCAGGAGTGGGACAGCAGCAGCAAAGGCTTCATGTCTTTACAGAGCACGAGGAGCAAGGCTAGATTTTGACTTGGTTTGACAAGCTGCAACTGCGGGAGCTCCGCTCCACCAGAAGGAGTTTGACATAGGCCTCAAGGAAGACATTAACATATAAGCAAGAAGCCAGTGAGGTCTCTTTACTATGTCAAATTATCCTCAAGTTATCTCCCTAATCTGTATTGGATAGGATACCTTGGATCTGCAACACAAATCACACACATTAAGGATATTGACAGCTGTTCACCCATTAAGGATGACATTTCTCCCAGTCTCAACTTTCTGCACCCTGTCCATCATTTTCCCTGTTTTCTGCTCAGTTCAGCTCCTTGTTGATTTACCAGTGTAGTTTCGTTTCTTCATAACTACGAAGAAGTAGATAGTTGCACAATAGCATCTATCAGAGCTGTGTTCCTGTCTTCCACCCCTTTTTGTTTGCCATTTTCTCTTAGTTTTTTTGCGAAGAATTGTCCATCATTTCCCAAGGCAGATTCTTAGTCAGAAACACATCTTTCTCAGCAGGAGGGCTCTTTGGCTAGAAAAACTTGAACCACTCTTCTCAGGTAATCTTCTCATCATAGTAAAAGCACAGAAAGATGTCAGCAAATTAGCTCTGCTAAGCTCTGCACTGTTGATGGGATGGTTGGATTTAATCTGCGGGTGTTTGTAGAGGTTGACTGATGTATATATATAAGTATGTAAATGTGTATATATATAATATATATATTTATTTATTTAACCTTTTTCTTCCCTCATTCTTAACTCACATGAAGTTACTCTTAGCCATTTCCTCTTCTCTCCTGCTCTGTGCTTGTACTAGTCATTACTAGAGCCCGTGCCTATAGTAGCTGTATCACAGAGCAGGAGATTGCGTTTCCCATCTTGCTTCCCAGGGTGAAGCAAATCTAGCACACACTCCTCCTGCCCTGCCATGGCAGTGAGGCTGTGGAGTAGTCACTAAGTGGAGGTTTCATCCCCTTTTTGTTGTTTTTTTTCTGCTCGACCTGTAAAAGAGCTTCCATGCTTGCCTATGGGAAAGAGGAGCTGAGATTCTTCCTTCAAGAGAGATGGGGCTGACGTTTGAAGAGGAAAAATGTATGTTTCTTTCCCCTGACCTATGCCAACATTGAGAACAGCAATACGTGAAGCAGCTTCTGACAACTTTGGGAACCTTCCTTTCTTGCAGAAGAGCACGAATCTGTCTGGATGATCCGAATCTTTGCTATCACTTGGAGCAGAAAGAAGCTCTGTAACAGGACAGTGACCAAAAGCCAACTGGACCGTGACCAGCTTGGGTATCCCGGGAAGAAGCTAAGGCGCAGTTTGTGTTGGAAACAAGGCAGCCAGAAGGATGATGACTCAGTGGTAAAGAGGCCCTGGGCTGGTGGCCGCACTCTGACCCAGAGGAGCTTTCTAGGCTTGCGAGAAGGCTCCAGAGATGCTCCCGTGGCTTCTCCCGTGTCTGAGGCCGGTAGCGGTGAGGGGTGCCCTGCACTAGGATGAAAGCTCCATCTTTCCTCCACAGCCCTCAGCACAAACGTGACCTTGGCTTAAAGCACCGCACTCGGGGAGTGAAAAGCTCAACCGCTTCTCTTGGCTTGTTTTTTCTGTTTACGTATAAAGTATAGGGTGCTTAGAGCTATAGAAGCAGTGCAAGAAAAATATTAATGAATAACCATGCAGTGCAGACATTAACGCATTCCTTTCCCTTGAAACAACCAGCTTTGCTCTGTGCTCTCTGTGAAAGAAAAATGTCTGCAGTCTGAATCTGTCCTTTAGAAGCCAAAATAGATCAAGATTTAGAAACTTTGCTGCCCTATATTGCTGAATCATTACCACTGCATTTATCATGGGGCAAAAAAAATCCTTTTTATCTATCTCTTTGCCAAATGATAACCCTGTAGTGGAAAGATAACCTTAAGGCAAGACTGTAGTTCTGGCTTATAAATCTCTGGGTTATGGAGAATGTAAATGAAAAGTGATTTCAGTCACTTCCCACTCGGGACTCTGCAGATGTTGGGGAGGAGAAATTATTGTAGCATTATTGCATCTCCGGGGATCAGAGATCAAGAGTTTTAACACGTTTAGTTTTTAAATGAAACAGCGCTGGTCATTAAACCACTGTTGCTCACAAATTTCCACTAATGTTTGATATTGGGTAGTTTTATGGCCTTTGACTCTTCCATTTGCTACTGGGAAGCAGACAAATAGCTCCACATTTCCTAGTAACTTAGCAGTGCTGATAAGCACTAGCTCAGCTGGCAACACTGTTCTGCAAGGATGCACTTTGGGGCACTAAGCAGTTTTCCAGTTTTTGTTTTCCTGCAATTAGGAGCAGGGACCTGCCTGAGCTGGGATATAGTAGCTCTGCTCCTGGAGTTGGTTCAGCCTCCTCATTGACCTGGTGGAAGCCCGTCCCTTCCTCCCGCCTTGGCTCCTCTGTGCTCCTTTGCGGTGCAACGTGCCATGCGGGCTGGCGAGGGCTCGGTGCCTTTGTCACTGTGCCCGAACACCTGCAGCGGAGGCGATTGTGCAACTGGACGAGGGAAGGGGGAGGGAAGCCCTCTCCAAGGCGGTCTCCTTTGGCGGGCTCTGGCTGCAGGCAGCCTTGGAGACCTGCCCCGCTCGCAGGGTTGTTGTTGCTGCTCCCAGGCCTGGGGCCTCAATCCTGGGCCAAGCTGGGGCTGCCTGGGGGCCTGGCCAGGGGGGACACTGTCCCCACGGGGCTATGGAGGGGATGGAAGGGGTGAGCTTGGGCTGGGGGGATCCCGATGCCTGCAGGGAGAGGGGTCACAGTGCCCGTAGGGATCTTGCTGCCTTGCAGGGCTCCTGCTGCCCGCAGCCTGCGGGGAACGGGGCGGGGGGGTCCCCAATACCTGCAGGGAAAGGGGAGCCTGTGCTTGCAAGGAAATGGATCCTGGTGCCTACAGGGGACCTGGTGCCCACGAGTGAAGGGAATCCCCGGTTCCTGCAAGAGAGGGGGATCCTGCTGCCTACAGGAGAAATGGGGGCAGATCAAAATCACTTTTCATTCAGGTTCTCCGTAACCTGGAGAGTCATAAACCATAGGTGCTGGTGCCCACAAACACAGGGGGATCCCGATACCCGCGGGGATCCACCCCAGCGCCCGCAGCGACCCCGGTGCCTGCAGGGGTCCTGGTGCCTGCAGCAACCCCAGCGCCTGCAGGGGAAGGGGCTCCCAGTGCCTGCAGAGACCCCAGTGCC